ATCAAGACACTTTAAGCCTATTGGAGAGAATTTAGCTTTCCAGTGCCTTCGACAATGCGTTTCAATGATAATCACACAGCTTCTATTTTAAGAAATGCCAATTTCATCACTCTTTATTGGTCAGACCTAAGCTGGAAGATTGACACTTTGTCACTAACAGACTTCGAACTCGTGCCTTTCGAATTTGTCATCAGGGTGTCTACTTGTGTGACAATTTTTTAACCAATAAGATATGAAATTCATTCCTTTAGATTATAAAAGGACGCATTTTTTAATATGAAGTGGTTTTATGAAAGCGATCGTGAGAAATTAGTTAACGCAATTTACACTGCAATAAAATTCTCCACATGATCTCTTTGTTTGCATTCATGACTAATTCTGATGAAATATTTTATTCTAAGTGCATTTACTTGAATTAATACATGGCTCCTTATTTGAAATTTTTTATCTTGACCTTAATTAACTACCATATTTGGTGCTTATCATATTGCCTTACAAGAATTAAGATGCCGTAGCTGACTTAAGGGGAGTGAAAGCTTATTGCATTTTTTTAATAATTTACATGAGCTAAAACTACAATTGCAAAAAATTGAAGGATACCAACTTTGATGTTATTTGAATCAGTTCAATCATATTACAAATCACAGTAAATACAGCAAGTTTTTTTTCGATTTTATTTCACCCTCCACATCCCTCCCACTGCAGATGCTATAGAGCAGGCGCGAAGTGTGATTCTTGTCGGTGGGACAATGAAAGCATTTGATGAATTCATCGATCAAGTATTTCTTCCAGCAGGGAAGGGCGACGCAGATGTATCTATCTTCTCCTGCGGACACGTCATTGATACTACCAGTCAATTGACGATTTACACGACTTCAGAATCACCTGACAATATCACGTGGGATTTCACATTTAAGGTTTCTTCGATATTGCAGATTTAATATCTACTAATAACGCTTAAGTAGAAAATTATTATTTAATTAGGAATCGAAAAGGACCCCGGCTTATTAGTGAATGCGGTGAATTCTTGATAGCAATTTGTAAACTTATTCCAGGTACTGTACTCATGCACATGTGTACGCCACTAGATTTCATCAAGTGACCCAATACATTCTGTTTGTCAATAGGTGTGGTAGCAGTATTTTTCCCTTCCTTTGAATATCTCACGATGGTATGGAATCATTGGAGAACCACTGGTCTATTTGCGCGTTTACCAGCAGTGAAAGCGCTGTTCAAGGAACCACGTACTGCTACTGCTCTGGCGGAGATAATGCAGGCCTACACGAAGGCGGTTTCTGAAAAGTGGGGGGCTTGTATTGTCTGAAGGAATCAAATTCACTGATGACCTTGCTCGAGCTATGGTCATCATCGGTCTTCCATATCCAAACGTTTATTCTGATTTTGTAAACAATATTTTCATCTTTGAGCAAATATTCCACTTATTTATGCAGAAAAGATTTGAATTTGCAAACAGTTAATGGCTAGATTCCTCTTATCGAAATTCTGTGTAGATTTTAAACTCCTATAGACCTTGCAATCTTTGCTAGCATATAGTGCTCCTTTTTACTACTAGGATTTACCATTTGAAGATATTATTAATGATCTCGGAGTTATGTTTTATTTGATACGGTGAGGTTCTAAGTTCTTGTGCAAAAGCCACTTTAAGTGAGGTTTCGATGGGATTCGACGAAGCGTAGGCAAATCAGATAGGCATTCTAATACGAAGCTGACTTGCGAAATTGGATTATGCCACTTTCTAATTTTACTTGGCAGATGAAGGAGAAGTTGAACTATCTTGAGAAACGTTTTGGAAATTGAAGCGGTGGCCAACGTTTTTGTGAAGCACTTTGCATGCTTTCTGTGAACCAGGCAATCGGATGTTCAATTCGATATGAAAACAACTATGCAATTGTTTTCCTAATGGATCAACGCCTCATTAATAATCGACGCCTGCGTCAACTATTACCGTCTTGGGCCCAGATCGCCTTCAAACCTCTTTTTTCTCACTTTGAGACTTTGAAGCTGGAAACGGTGGCATTTTTCGCAAGAACTTTAATTGATGCAAGTTAGACCGATAGAAATGGGCAAACAGTACTTAAAACAGCTCTCAATTTCCCCATATGTCAATATATTAATAAATCAGAATTGTTTACGAGTTGAATTAGACTTAGTTTCTAAATGTAGTGGACGATATATAGTCAAAAGGAGTACATTTTGGCTTATAAATCAATGATGGCGTTTCAATGGGACTCAAAGTTAAGTGTATTCCATGAGAATGGCAGAGCTGAAACTGGAGAACACTTCAGTAGGTCTTTTATCAAAGTTTTACTTGGAAGTTTAAATTAATTACCTGAAGAGAGAGAGAGGACAGAGGGAGAATTAGAGCCCTCGTAGTAAATCTAATGAATGCGAACCACCAATTACGCTACGTCAGATGAATTGGTAATGTCCTTAAAACGAGAAACTTCTCATACCGAAACGAGAGCTGTTCAAATTAAGCAGTGAACATGGGGAGAATGTATCAGTGCTAAGAAATTGGTCAAAGTGATTCATACTTATTGCTCAAAATGAAAAGGCATCTTTTGCCCTCTAAAAAGGGTGTATTGCAACATCGTCAAATCTTATGAGCTTCAAAATGGGTTTCATATGAAATCAAGTGAAACATGGAAAAAAACAGAATTAAAGAAAATGAATGCTTTACTTATCAAAGTTCTGAAGAGCAACACAAAGAGCGATTCGATCCTCCTGTCTCATGACACGTTCAGTGAAGTCGACTGGTGCTGGATTTCCCCAATCATACATGCGGAATATGATGGGGATAGGCTTTCTCTCAAGTTCAAGTGCTTTCCTATCAGCTTCATTCTTCTTCTCCGCTTTCGAGGCGTCTTCATTGAAGTAGAGAATTCGAGCAAATTTGAGGGCTTTCGCCTGACGTTTGGGATCAACTTCCGTCTCAATTTCCTCGTTCACTTTTTTCTCAAGTTCAGTCCTCTCTTTCTCACTCGGTCCCCGAAGTTTGCAAAAGAAGTGAAAGCAAAGAAATTGGCGCACAGTTTCATCATAATTTATTATTTTGGGGGCGTTTTCTACGACAATGCCCTTCTTGTCTTCCTTACACGTGGATGCGGACTGAGACGAGCCCATCGATTTTTAAATGAATTTCAATTTGTCAACCAACTACGCAAATTTGCTACTTTTTATTAGCATTAGTAATTAATAAAGCAGTGTCATATGTCAGTTTAAATAGCAGTGCCTATCAAACTACCGTATGGCAGTCATTGTTGTACACAATTTAATTTTTGGTAATGAATTATAAGTGAGTTTAATTTAAGTTGAAAATTAGTGACCATCTCTTTTTATTTTGACTCTTCTATTCTGGTGAGGATGCAAATTCCAGTCTCTACTGCGATTGGTACTATGGCTTCACATCATTAAAGACGGAAACACTCGTCTGGTAAAATTGTTCAAATATAGGAGACATGTTGGTAAGACAATGGTTGACCCTGAGGCCCTATGCGCTTCCGGTAGATTTGAGAATGTTCTTCTCAAACTCAAACTTCTGTGGGGTCTCTCGGTCTGCCACCTACAGTAAGCGGAAGCACACTAGAAGTATGCCTTCATAAAGTATGCTAGCCAGTCAAATATAAGTACACGGCTGAATGTAGAGTGACCAATCAACCAAACATACGAGAAACCTGATTATTAATCAGATGAAGCCACACTACCACATTCGACTTATCGACAGTAGGAATGAGTAATTTCTGATTCTTGATAGGCATCCGTAAAATACGACATCCTCAATGAATCGATGCGAATCAAAAGTAAGCCAGCATTTACTGAAATTAGGTCGAGAAGAGACAGACAGACAGCCAGTTAAGGACCGTCGGAAGCAATTCATTGTATCAAGGCTTTATCTACAACAACTTGAATTGATCCTTGTCAACTATGGTTTCTAAATTGTATAATGGGCAGTAAAATCCATTGCACAGTTTCCAACCAGCAACGATGCCAGGGCTTAGATGTGGTGATCCTGTGTTTCTCATGGGCGTATCTCTGTGACTCCTCGCTCCTAATTTATGCCCAATGCTTCTTGTTCCCAACGTATTACAAGACAAGGAGATCTCTGAGATTAGGAAAGACTTTGCACATACCTTTATGAATGCTAACTTTCAATGGCTTTGTGGCTGAAATTTGAAAACGATGTCGAGATTAGTGGCATTTATAAGGCAAACCTTTACAACAGCATATATATTCGTTCATGTAACATTTATTAAACGAAAGACACTGATTGAAAATAAAATTAATTATTATAATTAAAATTCATAATTAAGGTGAATTATTCTTATTACGAAAAGAATATATATCTAATATTTTAAAATAATTTTTTGTACGTTTACTTAAATAATAAAAGGCAATATAAGTTGCTTAGAGTTTGAATGAATTGTTTTGTTTAAACTCGTTGAATATTCGACTACACAATTTGAATACACGTGCCCAATATTGACCTGCGCTGTACGCTTCTCAATCACTCCGACAATGGAAAGGAAACGACGTGAACGGAACACGCAGAAAACATTTGGTACTCAAACGGATGTACTTTTAGTGACCCAAGGGATACCAAAAGTTGCAACTGAACGGGTATTGGACCAACTTCAAAAGCACCTAAATATTCGTAGAGGGTTAAAATTTCAAGCAAAGAGAGCCTTGCAACGAAATGGACGCTTCATATGTTCAACCAATTTTAGGTGTTTGAATTCTTTGTCAGCACATCGCAAATATAAGCTAATAATTGAAAAAGAAATGGATCTTTTACGATACCTTCATGAAAAACATTTTCATTCACGAAATTTACATATATGCCGCAGAGTTTTTCATCAAAATGAGAAAAATTCTGATGATGAGGAAACGGTATCTGATTTAGTGAAGCAAGGATCAGGAACTATGCATACGCAAGATCTATCATTATCTGCTCAACTTGATAACCTTTCGATTTCCGAAAGTGCGAAGAACAACATTGACTCTGAATCAACACCTATTTCAGCGAGTCAAATTCGAATGAACATTGATAAATCTGTAATTAGAAGCTTTCGATCGTTTGACACCTCCAATGGAGAAATGACCAATATTGAAGACCGTCTACGTGGGATGCACATGGAAGACAATTAATATATTGTTGTATGTTTGGCGTTTTATATTAAACTGTTTACTCTCATTTTACTTCATTCTTTTGTAGTGTTTTTATGCTTCGAATTCGCAAAGTTCGGCGAGTGAATTCAATTAAGGCCATTAGCGTTTAAAGGCTTATAGAAATTGGTGAATGATATTGATGGGTTCACTTTTCAAATATGTTTACAAGGGGATTCGGAGGATGAATTATGGGTAGGAATTTCCATTTCGTTCAGTGGGTTCTTGGAATGCAACAGTCATCTTAGTTCAATATTTCAATCAGATCAATTGAGATGCATGCATATTTCTACAATCAGATACACCTTAGCACAATTTTTAATTTCTTATTGCTTTCAAGCAATTCTTATTTGAAGAAACATCTGTGAAGCATATTTAATTGTGGCTATTCAATGGATGACTCTGGGTATGAATTCGATTTCTTAACATTTTTTACTCAATAATAGTAATAATACAGATATGAGATAGAAGAAATTTTGAAATCAGTTAGAATTCATTTAAGGTCAGACAGATACAATCAATTGAGAAGCGTTGCCTTTAACAAGCGTGATTAAGGGCATATCTACCTTATCTGCGATTCAAGGTCACAACACGATGTATCAAAACAAGGCCTTGGTAACTCAGTGACTTCAATTAAATGTGTCCTTTTTCAACTGTCGCCATAATATGACTTGTTCTCGTGCGTTGCGTGGTTATGCTAGAGTAATAAAATTCGAGGCCGTATAAATTAGAGTACATTAAGATAACTGATTATTCCGATGGTGTCACAATGAGCTTTTAGCATGGCTACTGTTCGGGTAAAGTGTGTGTTGAAATATTAGTTCACTTGAGTGTATCAAAGGTATAAAGTAAATTTTGGAAATGCTGGAAGTATAGTTAGCAGAAAACGTGAAAGTTAGCAGAACTTAACTGGGTTGCCTTAAGAAAAATATCTTTCAAATTAATATCTACTATCGGTTGACTTTAAATTTTGCAGGCTTAATATGGTGGCCAATGTATGTAGATATTAGCATTTGGTAGTCAATATCTGCGCTACAATTTCACCACAATTATCTTGCCTAGAAAGTGTCAATCAAACATCTGAAGGAAATTAATTTGAAGGTTGAAGAGGCTGCGTTGTAGTTGAATCCAAAAAGAAATTAGGTTTCGTGTCTAAAACCTCCCATTCATCTTGACTTCCTCTTAGACAAATATCTCATGAATTGCATAACTTCAAAGTCACTTCAAGTTTTTAAGATTTTTCATTCGGTTTTAAGAGGATTTAAGTAGTTTAAAACACAAATATCTTCATCGCGAANCAACTTGACCACTTAGACAGTACTTATCATACTTTTTCTCCGCCTTTGTGTTTGTCTGCCACGTTTACGTGTGTGAATCTCTATTCTATTTCCCCACTAGACTTGTTTGCGCTTTGATGTTCCTTCTCACGGTGAAGCTCGAAGTCAGCTAAACATTGTGCCTATTTGATTTCAGGGCCTTTGACTGAGATAGTTTGGTAATTGGAGCTTGGTTAGAGGTTAATCTATGAATGGCACTGGGTAAAGTTTATTTCCAATAAAAGTTTATTTGTTTTATTCATTTTAAAATAAGTGAAAAGCATATGTCTTGAATTTGTACTATTTCAGAAAAGTATAGCGACCTCATATTTTTCAATAATTACTAGTTCAGACTAAATGCATATCTAACAAATTCAGAATGAAAAATTAAAATCGCGTCTGTATGACTCAACAAAACACCCGTTTCGCTGATTAAAACTTGCCTTAAGTTATTGAGATTGCCATTCCACTTCGTCAGGTCTTCAAAGTATGCGATGATATTGATTGCAGAACGCAGAATGCAAAGTGGAGTGATGTGAGACATAATATGTCGACATATTGCCGGATTGAAATTCATTGGAGCTCTACTAAGTTAGAGTTAAGGCTTGCAAGTTGTCGTCTTCAAGCTATTCTGGCATGTTATAGGAGATTTCTTGCAATTTTAGAGTACCTAACAGCTCCATTAACTCAATGTTCAGACAGAACAAAATTTTGTTGAGAACATCAAAAGCATGTCTATTTTACCTGTAAGGAACCGAGAAGACTCCATCGACAATTTTTTTAGAGATTTTGGTTTTCGCTGGCCCTGATAAACCGTTTAACTTATTTTGTCCAAAATGGTACGCTTTCCTTGTTTACACCGAATTACTGCCAGGCCAAGTTTGCTAAATTAGACTACTTCTGTTCTAGAAGAAATTAAAATAGTGCTTATATTAAAAGTAATTTAAAATCTACAGAATTGTCAAATATTCATATAAATTTTGAACATTAGTTGGTGAGGGGAGGGGAGGGAAATTTGGAGAAATGGAAATTCCCTGAGAATTGCGATTGATTTTGCGGCCCTTGAATGACAAACATTTCTTTCATATAAGTGAACGTGCATTTTTTGTGAACTTACTTTTTACCTATTAACGCCTTGATTATTACTTATTATTATTACTTTTAAATATTCCGATCGGAATCTTAACAATTGAGGCGTTTAATTAAAGGTTTTTTAACCTATTCAAGCCAAAAACATTGAAGATGACGACTATTTGAAGAGATTGGAGTGTTTGCTGAAAGATTTAGAATTTAAGATGCAGGAAAAGTTAATGCTTTAAGGTGTCAAAATTCACTCCACATACTTCCTGAAACGTTATTGTTGAAGTAAAGGAACTAATCGGAAAGTTTCATGGATCAAATTGTGCAAACTAAGTATTAAGTTTTGAACCAACAGATAAATATGGACTGCAACTGTGTGAGACTTGGAAATTTAGACCCAAATTACCACTGGAGGGGACTAAGATATATTTTAGTCTGACTTCTAAGTTTGTATGAGGGCAGTTTCAGTGGTTGATTTGCAAAATAATATTAAAATCGAATACAAGGCTGTAGATGCACACGCTCGTTTTTTGTTCTCTTAGTTCTCTCCCCTCTAGGCCAATCAAATAATCACTCTATCGTTGTGTCTTAATACGAAAATACCTGATATGTGGAATTCATTTGAGATATCAATTTATACAAACCGGGGTTATAGCTTTAGAAAATCCATTAAGAGGCTCAAGAAATTTTCAATCCCATTTGATAGATTGAGTCATTACCAAAAAGGACACAGAAATGTGAAAATTTGCACAGTGGGGAGGGAGGGAGGGAGAGAGATGCGGTTTTACTGCTACTCTCCCACTGCCATCATTATGGGCGTCGACTGAACAATTTCCAGATATCATTTCTTTAATAGGAGACAAAGTTCGTTGAATAGATATATATCAAACTTTCATCATCAGGATGCCAACAATTGAGTCAATACGCGTCTCCTCAAAATATATTGGGAAAATGAAAACTTCTTCTTCAAACATTTCAGGCATTATCGCCTTATCTGTAGTTTCGCAAACATTTTTGTAATTCACGAAAAATTGCTGCATCTTGGTATCTCTTTAATTTGCCTTACTGAAATTTAGTTAATTAAAAAGAGATAATTTGTTTAAATATAAGCTACCTGCCAAAAAGCCTAAGAACTTTTAAAAAAATCATTTTTATCGAAACAGTTAACACAATTGTGTCAACAACTTGAAGGATAATCAACCCTTTCGTTGGTAGAAGTGCACTATAGCTACATTTGTTACTGCTGCAGAAGGCCAAGTTGCTTCCATCAATTAAAGTTGATTTAACGATAGCCATCGGTGACGAGTTTCAAGCCATCGAAGCTCAATGGGAGTAATGAAATCGAAAAAAGGGAAAGAGAGAGAGAGAGAGTTAAAAGGAATACCTTTGAACCACTGTACGAAAATTTCGAAATTTGTATTTTACTGAATAAATATAAACTATACTCGCATATTAAAGGCGTCATCTTAAAAGAGAAACTGACTCAACTTGTATCTAACTTGAATTATGTTAAGTGGATTAAAAAGTAATCCACTTTTATAAATTCATTATCAGAGTACTCAGTGTGGGCTGTAGGTACCTAGTTCTGAGATTTGACGCAATTTCCACCTCCATTAAAGTTATTCACATTCTCCCCATGGAAGGCATTTGATAATTTACCATGAGATCAAATGACAAATTGGAATTGAAATGGATCTGTGGGTTCTGAGGGATAGTCGTAATACATTTTCATTGACTTTTAACAAGTGGATTATGCCTTGAACAACACATTGATTATTTCAATCATTTTCTGAAATGCGGTAACATATAAGATGGTGTTCAATCAAAGTGGCTCCTCTACTATCTAACACAGATGGCTATTATTGGCTGCGTAATCACTCAACAAGTGCACAATTCGCAATTTCGAATGGAGAGAAGTAATTGAAATCGCCTGACTGGAAGTGGGACTCACATTAAAAGTGTGGGCTTTCACAATTCTGTAAACAATTCGCCATATGAGTATTTGACATTTCGAGATTCCCATTTCATTACTCGTCTACGATGTGCAGGATTTTAATCACGTAGCCCGACCCTTTCCACTTGAATTCAATACTTCATCTACGAGGTGAGAAGTCTAGCAATAACACATGATATGTGTTCAACAGTTTGCAGCCATACCACAGCAATGGCAAGGTAACCAGAAATACAAAATGCTAATGCTTAATTACTTCGTTGACTGCTTACTTTACCCAAGGAAGTGTGAACGCTCCGACCACTTTATGGGATGATTCATGTTTCAATGGAAAGAGGACACCAAGGTGAATGAGAAGATAGCCCTTATGAAGGAGAACTCACTGCCAACAGGAGACGTGCGAGTACCCTCAAATGATTCGTGTTGTCATCTATTAGAAGTTTTTACTATAATTCGGGTCAGGTTATGGAGCAGAAGGAAGTTGTTTTGAGTTTGTGGGAAGTGGCAGCTGAACAGCAAGTTGACGGAGGAGTTGTGCAGAAAGTTTGAACAGTAAGACAATCTCCATTCAAGAAGTTAGATGTATTCTTTAACATCATGTGATAAAGAGGCTTTTCCATTTGTTACAAGTTGAGTTGGCTTTCATATTGCCTGGATACTGAGTGCGATCGTTTTTGTATTGGCTGTCTGATATATTTTATCGTGTCCTAAAACTGATGATGATAATTATAAGAATATGGTTATTTTGTGAGTGTGTTATTATTTCACTGACTCCTAGAATGGACCAATAGCCAAGGTTTTCATTCCCCGTCATTGTCCTCCACCCTCGTCTGTGTGCAGTCCGAACTGTAGTGACAGATGTCATTTGAGAAAATTGTTTGTCGTATTAATAAACCTATGGAGCACACAACGTTATTAACTCTGAACCAAGTAATCTCTTGCGCACTCCGACAGGCACAAAGGTGCGGCCATGTGAGCGGAAAACACCTAGTCAACCGCCAATCAAAAGCCCTTGTTTGGTTTGCTAGCAAAACCACGCTACACTTACATAATGACTAAGCTCTCCATCTGTACACACAGAACAAGTCAACATCGTCCACGCGCTAAGCCCATTTACTTCTGTAGCTTTGCGGTCGATCAGGTAGTTATGGGAGACTTTCCAATCATAAGAGAATCTGCCACAGAGATTGCTGGGTATAATCAAGGTTACAGCCCAACGCACTTTTGCTCAAGGTTAAATTGGAAACTAATATTTTTGCATTAAGAATTAATGACGAATGGAACATAATTTTATAGAAAATGCTATTTCATAATTAATCACTCATAATGTACATTTTCTTCCAATAGTGCAGGATTTTGTTTTTTTCAAATACTACTGATATGTCAATCTTATTGGATGTCTCACCCAATTGTCACACTTGAGCAAATTTGTGAAAGGTTAGCGCAATAAGAGTAAGGGTTTATGACTCGCTATATTCTTTTTAGTTCGGAGAGATAAACGGATCGAAATGGAAGGCAAAAACACCGAGCTTAATAGGAATACTAGCCAAATCACCAACGGTGATATACCAGGTCAGTCACAAAGAACGAATTCTGACTCGGTTATGGCCAATCTTACTTCGGACCCGTTTCGCGAATATCAAAATGTACGCTTAAACCCTGAGAATGTAGAGGAATTTTGGAAACAGGCCAGCACCATCATCAGTGAAAGGGTAAAATGGGTTCTTGGTCACCTACTTGAACCATCTCAACAACCCACTCGACCATCGCAATCCCATTCTCTTGAGCATGCAGCAAATGCAAGACTGCCTAATGTCCAAACATGTAGTGGCCCATCAACACCATTATTGGGATCACTTACAGTTCAACAATATATTGATGAGTTCAATAAAGAAGCACTTGGTCAACGGTCAAACGAAAGTGATATAAGCTCCCAAAGAACGGAAAATTGGAAACGACATGTAGACTATTTAATTGAAATGGCTGAAAGGAGCCTCGTTGATATACGCAATATTTACGGGAGAAATCTAACGGGCTCTAAACATCGACGAATAGATGGTATGGCGGAAAGACGTTTTGATATTTCTCGATTGGACAACATGGAGGTCCCGAGTGTTCCCTTGTTTAGTGATATGCCTCTTGCTAAGGCAATGGAAGAACATCTATCTTCGCAATCGAGTGCTCATACTTCCGATTCCTCAGATGAAGAACTGGATGATATAAAGATTGTTGAAATTGTGGGCGGAGAAGAATGATAAATTGTATTTCTGCTTTTTATTAGCAATTTAGTCATGTATTTAAAGCATTAAATATTTCCAACCTACTTACAACCCTTTTCTGCATTATATGGTATCGGATTAATTATTCATTGGCTTTAGCCAGTAAGCGTATGTAGGGTCATAATTGCAATTCGAAATGAACATTGCCGATTAGACGGACTTGCCCTGAAATGCTCAATAATTAGTGTATTAATTCGATTTAACTATAATTTTAACACACAGTGCACTATTTTGGATTGTGTCGTTTTTATGATAGCTGGGTGTTTGTTTTCTTAGAAAAATAACAGACCCAGAAATCAGAAATATTCGATGAACAACAAATTTCTGCCAATTTCGAGAAAAACACGATTAATATTGACGAACACCAGTGGATCAAAATTGGCGTTTTTAATTCTTCAATCCTGTTGATCTTGAACTTTATGCTATTTAAGCACGTCACCTCAAAGGATGTACTCCCAATTATACTTGCCTAGCCCTTTTTACGTTATTAAAGGCCAGTCTTGTTGGTGCTTAAAATCAACAAAACTCTCATGCTATCTGTGTGCAATCCACTTTATATATTATTGGAGCGCCAACTATTTTACAGGTGATTCTGAAATCTTACCCAAAAATGCCCAGTAGGGGTGCGATTGGATGAATAGGTGAACAGGCTTTGAGGTCAAATTTCGTTCAGTACCTGCAACTCTCGTAATTGAATTCATGAGTATACTGACAATGCAACCTTTGCAATTAAATGACGCAATATTCAATTCCCGCCATTTTAAGGCATGATGTTGTCTAAATTAAGAGCTGACATTTGTCCAAATGTGGAGACGTAGTGTTAGTATCAGTGCTTATGTCTGACCAACTTCATAGAAAAAATTGAAATTATTGATGTGACGCCGTTTGTCAGCAGTCGAAAGTGTGTGGCCGTTTTACAATAAGCTGGAAGTAAAATAATTGTCAGGTAACAAACGTAGGAGGTAATATAAGGTTAGAGAATGGACCCAAAATTGGGCCGAGAGATGGAGGCGAGAATACAATCATTGAAAAACTTCAACTTATACACCAAGTTGGCATCAATTCAAAGTTTTCATAGTCACAGCAAAAGTACGTGCACTTAATATATGAATTAACTTTTTTCATAGTCAATTATAAGAGAACGAATGGAAGTTCTAATAAGGCTTCAATCACTGCCAAAAAAGAGCATATCTACTTTAGATAGTTTTGTCCTTGACATTAAAAGGTTTTACTTTTATGATTAATTTGCGATTCTTTGCATTTTGCTAATTATAAAGAACTGACGATTTGCAGTAAACAGATCGATAATTTTGAAAATATGAATGCCTATAGAGTCTGATAATTGTTTGCTTAAGCAGCAACGAGAACACGTTTACCCATAACTTATACGAGCAAAATATGCACAGATCAGTATTTCATTTATAACTACATACTTCAACAAAAAATACACTTCATACACCTAAACTATAGCTTCGTCATTCACGATAAGAAATTAGCCCATTTAACTATTGATTTTGCAACTTACTTACAACGCCCTTCAATTTTAATTGTAATTGCATTGATTTTCTATGAAACTCTTCATTCAATGACTGTCTTTCTGACGGGATTGGATATTTTGAGGTAAATTGAATAAACGGCTTTTTAATTTATACCTTGGGTAGGTGCTAGCACCTTCCAACTCAAATAGACCTGTCTAATTAGTCTAGACACATTGACAAAGTGAAATTTGGACGTTTAATAGTGCCAATCCAGGAATCTGCATGATCCAACTGGGAGATTTTATGTTTCATTTTCATAATCAATCCATACTCAAGTCTGTCCAATTTAGAAACTTCCGGAAATTGGCCGATCATATTTCTACGGTTAGTCCTTCCTGTTTGTACATCAATCTCTCTCTCTCTCTATATTTTATAAGGTGGGATGTGCGATAGACTTATCTCCACGTGGTGCACCCTGGGCAACGTATACTCATTCGGCTAAAAGTCTAATAACTGCTCTTGACTTCTGACGCAAAACTACCACCACCCCACTGTATATCATATTCGACTACTTGCACAGTACTCACCTCACCATTTTCTACCCTCGTGTCTGCCTCTTTTACATCATTGAAACTCTCGTTTGTTCCTGCTTCCCTCTCGACTTTTTTCACTTTGATGTTCCTTCCCCTCGGTGAAGCCTGAAGTCAACTAAAGGGCTAATGTTAACTATCAAAACGCCTGCCACTTGTTAGAAATGAATAAATTTTGTTAAATGCCAAATTGACATAAAATTGTTTCTTCCCAGTTGAAAGCATTTATTTGAAAAAAGTCAGTGAGAATAGCTCTGAACTTCAAATAGGTAAAGTAAATTCAGTAGATCTGAAGAGAGTTAAACAGCCCAATTCTACTTAATTGAAGTTTTATGGCAAACAAACTGCGAAGAGTGTGTTGTTTGTGTCTCCGATCACGTATCTCACACTAACTCCTTTTAACTGCACATATGTGATAATTGCAATACCGACTTACAGGATTAAAACCGTGTTAAAATAATTGTAGTTTCAGTGTTTAATTGGGGGATTTTTTGTGCATACCAATGACTCTTTCAGCCGCATAAATTACCCCATTCAAACTATCGGAATTTAGTCAAATGACATTTATCGATTAATTTAGCCGCATCAGTTATTTAAATTGGATCAAAATATGCCTAAATCTCGACATAAAATTGTGTGAGAACTTTGTAGAAACCTCATGGCTCACCAACGATTGTCTATCGATCTAACCTACTTTTCCAACTATTGGCGTGAATCATCCGTCGATCTTAAAGTTGCCTATCGAATATTCTCTCCCCGCCTTCTCTAAAACAGCGTCATGTGCATCTTTTTATGTTTCCCCTCCTGATGTGAACATTCCGCTCTCTGCCACTTTCTCCTCCCTACCCTTTGCCAGTGTGCTGGTCATATTGCAGGGCGGGTAGGCCACTTGCCTGTTCATTTTATGCCAGTTAGCCTGAGTGTTCCCTCTAAGAATAATCATTAAGCCATTAACGCCATAATTATCTCTCTGAAAAATGCACCCGACCGCACTCACGCGTGTCCCACAGAAGTATGTTTGCCTACGTGATGAGTTTTGGTGGTATCAGGCGAAGGTTATTGACGTAGTGAACATGTTTCAAACGGCAATAGTGCCTTCTGTTATGAGTCTAGTACTAATGGAGCTTATTTGGAAAGGAGACGGTAGGTCCTAAAAGCGTTAAAGGGTTTAAAGAAGTAATATTTTGAACTTCAAGAGTTATTTTCAGCGAATATTGTATGACAAGTGTGAAATGTTAAATTTAGAATCCTTTATTGCCTCATTACAGAGCCTGAAGTATTTACTCCACTTTCATCAAAAACAGTTTGTTTAACTGTGTTTCGGGCTTATATCGCTAAAATTAATCGCCATAAATTTAGCCCAAAATAAGTAGTCTGAAAGATGACTGTCCATTCCCAAAACTACCCCTCATTCACAATCTCCTTTATTATCTTATGACTCACCCCTACTGTCATGCCTAGACGAGCTTGTCGTTTCTCCTCGGCTCGCAATCGAAACGTTTAACCCAAAACTGCACTCGATTCATATCATACTCGCGTACTTGGCCAAGTGATTCCGTTTGTCACTTATCTGCTCGTACTTATTCCACTCATTTCTTCTCTTTCATACGCCCTGCCCTGCCCCGCCCCCCCC